TATAGTTTTTATGAAAATATTATTTTAATATTTATCACCCCATAAATATTCCCACAAAAGACTTATTCTATTTTTCTGGACTATGCTGGACTATTGCACTATTTTGTTATTTTTATTTTTGTAGAGTTAGCCAGAGAGAGAGGAAGTGTTAGCTTACTCAGGCATGGATGTACTATGTGCGTTATTGATGTATGTTGAGTGTACCAAGGATGGATTCCCATGTATTAAGTGTGGAGATGACTGGACCATTAAAATAGGGATGTGATTAGGAGACACAGGACGCAAGGTCCTGATTGAGATTATTGTTAGAATTGCAAGCTGATCATAAGTTATCTCATGATTTAATATGTAAGTTGGCATTTTCAAACTAATCAAGAATTGTTTCCCAATCCCGATACCCGAGCTATGTACTCACAGGTGCGGGTTTTATAAGTCACAAATGGTGTCAACGTGAGGGGATGACATGTCTACACAGTCATGGCCCTCACTCAGGGTTTCCCCAGATGTGCTTTTTTCCTCAAATATGAGTTTTTGCCACTGTTTTTTTTTTACCTGGCCCGAGTTCACCGGGTGGACTGGTAATCCAAGACCCTGGTCCAAAGAGGGGGGACAGATATTATTCCCATTTTGACTATATGCATTTACGTTGTGAATAATAATGATAATGATAATAATAATAATAATAATATTTCCGTTGTTGAGAATAATACACTTTGCCTGTACTGACCCAAGGCTCAAGCTACAGATAACATTATGTTCAGTCTGTTTAAAATTGGTTAACATGTCAGATGTTTGAAATATTTAACTTACACTTTTTTTTTATAACTTGTACAAAACAATTTACGTCATTTAACACACCCATATACTCCTCTTTTTCCCCCTCCCATCTTGCTCTGAAGAAATATGTATAAATAACTGTTTGTCATTAAAATGAGTTAAGTTGGATATGGAACATGTCTCTGCTTTTCATTTCCAATTTCCAGAGCTCTGTAAGAGGTGGCAAACATCCATTTAATCCAAGGGTCCCCTAATGTTGAAAAATGCAAAGTTATGCACTTCAGCGTAAAGAATACACAAGCAACGTATACCCTTAATGGAAGCGAATTAGGGATAACAACACATGAAAAGGACTTGGGAATTGTTATAGATAACAAACTATGCAACAATGTGCAATGTCAATCAGCAGTGGCCAAGGCCAGTAAGGTATTGTCATGCATGAAAAAGGGCATTCATTCTCGGGACAAGAATATCATTTTGCCTCTTTATAAATCACTGGTAAGACCCCATATTGAATATGCTGTGCAATTTTGGGCACCTGTACTAAAGAAGGATATTATGGCACTAGAAAAAGTGCAGAGGCGGGCTACAAAATTAATAAAAGGTATGGAACATATCGGCTATGAAGAAAGGTTAACAAATTTAAACCTATTTAGTTTAGAAAAACGTCGCCTGAGAGGGGATATGATAACATTATACAAATATATTCGGGGCCAATACAAACCATTGTGTGGAAATTTATTCACAAACCGGACTTTACATAGGACACGAGGCCATGCGTTTAGACTGGAAGAAAGAAGATTTCGTCTAAGGCAAAGGAAAGGTTTTTTTTACTGTAAGAACAATCAGGATGTGGAATTATCTGCCTGAAGAAGTGGTTTTATCAGAGTCCATACAGATGTTCAAACAGCTACTAGATGCATACTTGCAAAAACAGAATATTCAAGGATATAATCTTTCAATGTAGGGTAATAACTGCTTGATCCAAGGATAAATCTGACTGCCATTCTGGGGTCAAGAAGGAATTTTTTTCCTAGCTTGTTGCAAAATTGTGCTTCAAACTGGGTTTTTTTGCCTTCTTTTGGATTAACAGCAAAAAAACAAATGTGAGGAAGGCTGAACTTGATGGACGCAAGTCTCTTTTCAGTAACTATGTCCCGGGCTGAATTTATCCCCAACAAAGGTCACTACACCCCTTAGATTTTCGCAATGCTGTCAGCTTCTGGTCTCCTATACCAGACCTTACAAACCAGTTACCACTACCACTCTGGCTAGATGGGTTCGTTGGCTTTTATCTCTGGTGAGGGTGGAGACGTGTTTCAGGGCGCACTCGGTTTGAGGCAGGGCCGGACTGGGAAAAAAATTAGGCCCGGGCATTTTTCAATCAGAGCGGCCCCACTAAGAAGGGGGCGGGGCCAGAGAGTGTGTGTTTTGTCATCACTAATGACAACACGCCCCCTCTCAAAGTGAGCATGTTGGTTCAATGCGCAGAGCCCTGCTGAAGAGCTCTGGCATTAGAAAAAGGCCCTGAATTTGTTCTGCGCAGCGCAAGCAAATGTAATAACATGCTTGTGCTGTGTTTGCTTTTAAATTGTCTCTGGTGTCTCCACAAGTGGGATACCAGAGGACAAATGGGCCAGGAAAGTGCATGGTGCATATGTTTGGAGCCTGCTTGTGGGATTGCGTGTGTGTAGAGTGTGGTGTGGTATTGTGTAAATAGATCAATTTCATTTGTGTTTGTGGTGTAATATGTGTGGCTAGGGGCTGTAGAGAGTGTGTGTATAGGGGGCATAGTTTTATAGGGGATGCAGCGAGTGTGTGCATATGGGCTGAAGTGTGTGTGTATAGGTGACGTAGTGTGTGTAGGGGTTGCAGAGAGGGTGTGTTTAGAGAATGTTGTATGTGTTTGCTGACAAGGAATGTAGTGTGTGTGTGTAGGAGATCTACAGTGTAAAGGACCCAGTGTGTGTGTGTGTGTGTGTGTATAGAGGATAAAGAGTGCATATAGAGTAAGGGATCTAGTGTGTATCTGGAGCGTAATGTGTGTAGTGGTGCAGTGTGAGGGGTGCTGTAGTGTGTGTGTGTGTGTGTGTGTGTGTATGTATATATATATTTGGACTTATTGTATGTGTGAGGGGCGCAGTGTGTGTATGTAAGAGGGGTGCTGTGTGTGAGGGTGTTTTTATCTGCTGTCACATTCTAGGTTTCTAATTTTCTTTGTCTGTTAACTCACTGAGGGTTATTTTATATATATATATGTGTGTGTGCTGTATATGTGTGGGAGTGTGCTGTGTGTGTCTGGGTGCGCTGTGTGAGTCTGGGTGCGCTGTGTGTGTCTGGGTGTCCCTCCCTCCCTCACCCAGCCGGCGGCCGCATTTCCATGCCTCTGGGCCGGTGAGGGAGATCTTTGATCTCCCCACCGGCCCATGGAGGCACACAGCAGGGCCGGCGCTCGGGTAGTGCCCTGCACGGGCTGGCAGGGGAGATTCTGTGATCTTCCCTGCCGGCCTCGGCCCCACGGCCCTCGCGGCCCATCGGTGTGCCCGATGGCCAGTCCGGGCCTGGTTTGAGGTGTGGCGGCTTCTCAGGCGTTCAAAGCGGGAGCTTCGCAATCCGATATTTTACGCTCGGCAGATTGGACGCGGGACACTTTCTGCATATTTTATTTTCGTCAGACTACACACGCATCTTTCTCGTTATTACCACAGCTTTAAAAATGCTAAATATGAAGCCTCCTGTCATGTGATAAAATTGTAGATTATGCTAGCACAGTGTACCTATAATCTTAATTTTAATAATGACAGGAGGCGAGTATTTTTCCTCCCTGATTTTTACCTCCCCCTTTTTCTATGGGAAGTTTTGTTCACTGTTTTCCAGTTGCTCAGTAATGTATTTTGTTTAGTTTATCTAATCTTGTGTATGCATAGAATGTTTTATGTGGTAATATACATCTATCATTGTTGTGTATATTTCATGATGTTAGAACTTTAGAATGATGCGTTATTTTCTAATTTATATTGATTGTGGCAAACATAGCCACTTGGACAATATCCAGAGACTGTACCTTTAAGGGTTGCCTGTATGTCGGTGGGGATATGTGTTTAACTGCGTATAATGTATGCTGGCTGTAATGACGTGTAATCACTGTATTGGCTATCTGCCGAATGCAGATAGCTGTATGTGCTGTATTTTCTTTCGTTTCACGAACTGCACTTTTGCGGGCCGTTCGTGAACCGAAAATACCCCCATGTAGTAGCCCACACACTTAGAGGTGTGTGGCACTTGTTAACCGATTGCAACAATGTTGCAATCGGTAATTAGAGGCTCTCCTAGGTGGCCGCCGTTTGACTACCAACCATGCGGCGGTCGGCCATCTTGGATCCTTTGTTCCCTCAGCGGTGTTTGGTCGTCGAGCGCATGGTACTAAAAACGGCTACTCGACGGCGCGAACACCGCTGATCTTCCAGGCCGTTCGGGAGTTCCGGGTCGTTCGGTATTTTGTTCCCTAGAATGCAATCGGTATTTTGAACATGTATTTTAATGAATGTGTTTTTCGTGCGGCGTTCGGTTGTTTTAGCTGGGATCTGAGCGGTAATCTCACGAACGATGCGCTCAGACCCCAGCTATCTACCGAACATCCATTCGTTTAAATAGACTGCCTATTCGAACAGTTATGGATTGTAATATAAATTGTCGGTTCTGCTGCACGGAGGGATAATCCACCTAACGGTACATTCCTGTTGGAGGATCCCTCTCGTGCAGCAGTGCCTGATGGGAGAAATGTCTTGTATAGTAAGTTCCCCATGTAGTCCACTCTGGGAATACCCCTGGGAGGGGACTCAGGAAACCCCTTGCATGGGGACTTGTATAAATTGTGGAGCTGAAAATAAAGACTTCAGTTGACTCTCAGAACTGTGTTTCGTCCGGTTACTGGGAGATTTGGGATATTGCCTTGCTTTTTCCAGCGCTTGACTGTGGATTATTTCCTGAACCAGCGGAATTCGTTACATAGTTACATAGTTACATAGCTGAAAAGAGACTTGCGTCCATCAAGTTCAGCCTACCTCACAATTGTTTTTTGCTGTTGATCCAAAAGAAGGCAAAAAAAAAACAGTTTGAAGCACAATTTTGCAACAAACTAGGAAAAAAATTCCTTCTTGACCCCAGAATGGCAGTCAGATTTATCCTTGGATCAAGCAGTTATTACCCTACATTGAAAGATTATATCCTTGAATATTCTGTTCTTGCAAGTATGCATCTAGTAGCCGTTTGAACATCTGTATAGACTCTGATAAAACCACTTCCTCAGGCAGAGAATTCCACATTCTGATTGTTCTTACAGTAAAAAAACCTTTCCTTTGCCTTAGACGAAATCTTCTTTCTTCCAGTCTAAACTCATGGCCTCGTGTCCTATGTAAAGTCCGGTTTGTGAATAGATTTCCACACAATGGTTTGTATTGGCCACGAATATATTTGTATAATGTTATCATATCCCCTCTCAGGCGACGTTTTTCTAAACTAAATAGGTTTAAATTTGTTAACCTTTCTTCATAGCCGATATGTTCCATTCCTTTTATTAATTTTGTAGCCCGCCTCTGCACTTTTTCTAGTGCCATAATATCCTTCTTTAGAACTGGTGCCCAAAATTGCACAGCATATTCAATATGGGGTCTTACCAGTGATTTATAAAGAGGCAAAATTATATTCTTGTCCCGAGAATGAATGCCCTTTTTCATGCATGACAATACCTTACTGGCCTTGGCCACTGCTGATTGACATTGCACATTGTTGCATAGTTTGTTGTCTATAACAATTCCCAAGTCCTTTTCATGTGTTGTTATCCCTAATTCGCTTCCATTAAGGGTATACGTTGCTTGTGTATTCTTTACGCCGAAGTGCATAACTTTGCATTTTTCAACATTAAATTTCATCTGCCATTTGAGTGCCCAGTCCCCCAGTCTATCTAAGTCCCTCTGCAGCAAAGTAATATCTTGTTCACATTGTATTGTTTTACAAAGTTTGGTGTCATCTGCAAACACTGAAACATGACTTTCAATGCGGTCTTCAAGATCATTTATAAACATGTTAAATAGAAGGGGTCCCAGAACAGACCCCTGAGGGACACCACTTGCCACCTCTGTCCAGCTTGAAAATTTACCATTAATGACAACTCTTTGTACTCTGTTTTTAAGCCAATGTTCTACCTAAGAACAAGCATTTTCATCTAGACCGATTTCCTTGAGTTTGAACACTAATCTATTGTGTGGAACTGTATCAAATGCCTTGGCAAAATCCAAATAGATCACATCCACGGCAACACCCTGATCTATACTTCTACTTACTTCTTCGTAGAACGCAATCAAGTTAGTTTGACATGACCTGTGCTTCATAAAACCATGCTGATTTTTGCTGATAACCATGTTCTTCTCAAGGAATTCTTGAATATTATCCCTTAATAACCTTTCAAATATTTTACCAGCCACAGAAGTTAAGCTCACAGGTCTATAATTTCCAGGCAAGGATTTTGAACCCTTTTTGAATATAGGAACCACATCTGCCTTCCTCCAATCCTCCGGAATACTTCCTGAAAGAAAAGAATCTTGAAAGATTAAAAACAGAGGTTCACTTATTTCTGCACTTAGTTCCTTAAGTACACGTGGATGGATACCGTCAGGCCCTGGAGCTTTGTTTATATTAACTTTCTTTAGTTGCTGCAGCACCTTGTCTTGAGTTAACCAATTACAATTATTCTGCAAGTTTTTAGTAGCAATCATTTGCACATCTATTGCCATGGGTTCTTCCTTAATATATACGGAGGAGAAATAGTTATTTAAAATTCCTGCCTTTTCCTGGTCTTCATTAATTAACACCCCCGTTTCAGTTTTTAGTGTACCTACACTTTCATTTTGTTTTTTTTTAGAATTTATGTACTTAATATTGACATTCCGCTACATTGATATATAGTGACACTGGAATTTATGTGGACATCAGTCCGTTTCCATCATCTTTCACTTGATTCTGTTCTTTTCAGTGTGATCTTGTTGGTGGATTCTATGTCGGACAAGCTGGACAAGCTGGAATTTTTTCTCGTTATCTTGTTTATCTCATAATGGATCAAGTTCGCGTTTTCCATGTTATTCAGGACTTTGGTTATATTCCCTGACGTTGTTATAGACTGTTTTTCGCTTTAAAGAAAGAGGAAGTCATGTGTCTGTCAGGGCTTTATATATGGATGTGATGCCTGTTACTGATTGGTTTAAAGTTTTTTTAATTGACTTGTGCTGCTGGAGGCATAGAGTAAAGAAAGTTATGCAAAATACTCGCCTCCTGTCATTATTAAAGAGAGCAAGACAGGAACAAGCTCTTACAAGAGCTTAGTAGAGATATAGCAAGGGAGTATGACTAGCATAGCGATCCCTTGTAGCAGATTCCCCCAGTAACTAGACGACACTTCGTTTTGAGGATCAAGCAGAACTGACTGTACTGGCACATACAGCCTCTTTTATTCACAATCCACACACATAGTACTGCCCACAGGGTTTTGAAATACAACCAATCTGTACAATACACACAGACACTCCCACACAAAATCCTCCCCTCTGCCTGTGATATGATTACTGAACACAATGGGTAATATAATTATGACAGGCAGAGAAATACAGTATCATAAAACACATCACAGGGACCCCAAAACATGCAATAACCCCATAAAAATATATATCCATGGAACCGGGGGATCTGGGTGAGCCACATATCCAAAATTCACCCAGATCCATTCAGTAGTTTAGAAGATACAGTTTAATACAGATTCCACAGAACATATACAGGCTATATGAAAAACAATTACTGTATAATGTGTCCCCTGTTGTAAAGTCCAAAACCACTGCACGATGTCTCTGTGCACCAAATACCAGAGAGGTGGCACCGTGTAGAAAAGTCCACACAGTCTCTGTGAGTTAAAATGGCCGCCATCCATTGTTCTCACCATGTGCTTCATCCATTGTTCTCACCATGTGCCTCTGATACATGAAATGGTGGCCACCCAGTAACTCCACAGCATGTCCCCAGATGGTTCTTAAAGGGCAAGCAGCAGCACAACACAAATCCATTATCCCCAAATCATGTCTTTAAAGGGCAATACATCCCAGGGGCCATAGTCACATGGCAGGAGGCGGGCAATCAGTCTTCTCCAATGCCCAGTGGCGAGGTCGGTTTCGCCACAATAACCCTCACTATAACTCCTCCTATTACTCCATATAACCCTTCCTATAACTCCTCATATTACAACATATAACCCTCCCTATAGCCCTCCTATTACTCCCTATAACTCCTCCTATTACTCCATATAACACTCTCTATAACCTCTCCTATTACTCCATATAACCCTCCCTATAACTCCATATAACCCTTCCTATAACTCCTCATATTACTCCATATAACCCTCCCTATAACCCCTCCTATTACTCCATATAACCCTCCTATTACTCCATATAACCCTCCCTATAACTCCTATTACTCCATATAACTCCTCCTATTACTCCATATATCCCTCCCTATAACTCCTCATATTACTCCATATAACCCTTCCTATAACTCCTCCTATTACTCCATATAACATCTATATAACTCATCCTATTACCCCTATCACTCCTCCTATTACTCCATATAACCATCACTATAACTCATCCTATTACTCCACATAACCCTCCCTATAACTCCTCCTATTACTCCATATAACCCTCACTATAACACCTCCTATTACTCCATATAACCTGTGATGAAGTGCCCTCCACCACTTGGTCCTGGAGAGGCCTGCTTGCCAGCCTCCTGCCCTGCGACTATGGCCCCTGGGAGATTGTACGTGTTTAAACCAGCATTTGGGCATATGGACTTTCATTGTACGGTGCTGGCCCTTATATACATACTGAAACTTTTACCCTTACATACTGAAACTTTTGAAACACTTTTTCTGCCCCTTTGAATTCATGGGAAGGTGTGCCTCTTCCCCTCCCCCAGCTCCATTGTTCTCCAGCAGGGAGTTGTCCCAGGGACACTGCCAGACCAATGGGAACTTCTTTGGGCAGGAAAAAACATGCTTGCAAGTGAAAACAAAGGACTTTGACCTAACTTTTAAACCCCTGAACCTAATCAAGTGAATCTTGGATATGTTTGTCCCCAAGTTATACTGGTTAAAATAATATAAGTTTTATGTATGTACGATGTAAACTCACAAAGTTATAAAAATGTATAAAAAGTGTAACTTTTCAGCTTGGAGATAATTGAGTAGCTACAGTAATTGACTCAATTATCCCCTAAGCAGAGGGGAGGAATATGATGGGTGTGTTTCTATTGTCCCATTGTGTCTGATTGGCTGCTGTACCTGCATTGTATATGTTGTAATGTGTTTATTGGTTGTTCTGAAAAACCCTGTGGGTGGTCCTATGTAGGGAAAACCTGCATAAAAGAAGGCCCTTTGGTGCCAAGTAATACAGATCTTCTTGACCCTCAATACGTAGCCTTGTCTCGTTATTGGAGGGAACTGCTATAATCTTAACTATAAGATAGGGCTAGGGACTAATGAAAGTATTTAGAAAATTGGGCAGACTAGATGGGCCGAATGGTTCTTATCTGCCGTCACATTCTATGTTTCTATGTTTCTATGTCTATCTTCTAGCTAAGCAAAATACTCGGATGAGATCAGCCATCTATCAAAATAGATTAGCTCTACAGTTAATATTGGGGTTCTATATCCATAAGTACCATCTTCTGCCCAAGTAGCAGGTCCATAGTAATTTATGATACGTTGGGGAGGCCACTCATCTTCCCAACTACCTATATTCAAGGATGCTCGCTTCTTTTTATGATTCACATCATAAACCTTAACTCCCAAGGTCTCTCCTGTCTCAATTGGCAACAAGAAGAAGGATGGTTTGAGCATATCTAGTACACATGCCCCTTCCCAGTCTTGTGGTAACTCCTGGATACACGATGGATACACGATGACAGTTTCTTTCAGTTACTTTAACAGTGATTCTCCATTTTGTTACACGTGGCATATAGCTGTTAACTGGCACAAAGGAAGTGGGGGAGGAGTTAGTAAAGGAAGCTGTTAACACAGGAATTTTTTGGTTACACGAGGCCTGCTCTGATGGGAAGGGGGATGCTAGCAGGATGCGAGGAATTTACAGAGAGAAAATAGTGCCTGAACACATTGTAGGGGGGGGAGGGAATATTTACTCTAGCAGCCAGTTTTAACATAGTGAACACAGAATAAATAGACATTAGTAAATAGCCATTTTATTTAAATTCATCTGTCCATAACAGTCCCCCTTTAAAATGGCAATTTTACTAGAAACTACTATCTCTCACTCTAATACTGTCCCTATAGAAAAATAATAAAAAGGCTATCTTGCACATCTGTCTGAACTGGCCTCGAACACTTCACTGCGTGGGTAACCCGTAGCAGCTTGTCCACAACTTCTTCCCGCGACAGACTTCTGCCCGTAGAGACTATCCCTGAATGTCCTTAAGAGGAAGTAGCTGTTGATTTAGTGCGGTGGGACTGTAAGGGTGTATGTGGTGTATCACGGTCTATGTCGTCAATCTCTTGGTGAAGGAAGGTCGGGGTGGTCTGGTCAATTATCTGATCAACTGTCTTTTGCAGGCATTTCTTAAGACAGGGTAACACACAACAAACAAGAAGAGCGAGGATGATTACCGTTATTAAAATGGCAACACCTATTTGGGCCAGAGCACCTTGCCATCCAGTCATCCATCCAAACCATCTTTCCCATGGATCTGTGTCCCCAGAATTCCTTTTCAGTTCATTGGACAAACTCTTTAACTTTTCTATTGCCAACATTACCTTACCATTAGGGCCTGTATTATCTGGAATATAGGTACAGCATGTTATGGTGTCTGGGAGTATTTTACATACTCTCCCTTTCCCTGCCAAAATCATTTCCAAGCTTATTCTATTCTGGAAGGTCATCTGAGAGGTAGTTTGTAACCGCCCTATCCCACCATATATCCCATAACAAGTATAGTTCCCTGGATATATAGTAATGCCTTCGTCTGGGTTAATATTTTTTAGTAATGATTGGGTATTAAGTTTCCATAACTCGCATGCTGACCGCTTAGGTTTAAATACAGTGTAGAGACTTAAAACGCATACTTCATATCCGAAGGAACGTTCAGGGATACAGTACCTGGGTGAGGCCTCGCTCCTCCGCAGACATAGGATTTAGACTTGTTATGTTTAGTAGCATTGTATTTCATCCAAGTCACAAGTTAGTGTCAGAGAGACCTGTCTCTACAGCCCTAGTATCCTCAAATATGGGATGACTACCATGTCTTTTAAAGTCCTAATGTGTGGTTTGAGGGGATTAACAGTCATGTGTGTGGCACCTACCCATTCAGCTGAGTCATACATGTCCTGTAAGAAAAAGGTCTCCTGTTTATTGTATAAACCTCTTCCCTTCCAATTCAGATTTTATTAGCCGTAATGCTTGGGAGAATAGATTCAAACTTAGTTTCTTACCTTAAAATCATTTGGTACCCCCCTTGATACCCCTATGGCATTAATATATATATATATATATGTATGTGTGTGGATAAAACCACCCTTTATAGGCGTACTCCTTTTTGTCCTCAAGCATGTGGTGTGTCAAGAGTACCTTGGGGATTGTCATGTGTTATGTGTATGGACATAATAACCTTGGCTAGGGCACATTTACTTATTCTTAATCTTAGAAATCTTGTCTCATGCTACCCTAGTACTGGCAGATTCAGATCGTTTAAACATTCAATATTAATATCACCACAAACTCAAAATAAGCAGATGATCCTGAAGAAGCTTTAACTGTGCGTATGGCTCCTCAGACGTGAGGGCAGCATGGTAAGGAGTATGTTTCTCTTTAGTTTCACGAGGTCCCCTTTTGGGGTATTCGGCTTTCCATCGATGGCAGGTGGTCAGGCATTATTATGGCCATCAAAACACCCACTTGTTGATATTTATTTATTTATTTTTTCAACAAGTATCTTTGTTCTCTAAGAATGGAGTTTCAAAAAGGGTTGTCAAGATCAACAAATGCTACTTCACATGATACAGAGGCAGGCTTGATTCTGGAATGATGAATCCACGGGGTGATCTCTGTAACTTTCACGGTGCACTACTCAGCATGTGGTCTTGGTTATCACTTTGGTGGCTGGATAGGCCTCTGGCCATCCTGAAAACATGTCTGCTATAATTAGTGCATATTTGAATCAGCCACTCTTTGGCATTCTGGATGTAGTCGACTTGACTCCTCTGGAAGAGATAATGAGGTTTTCCTGAGTTGCCCTTGGCACAAATGGCACAAGATTTACAGTAACTGTTGGTCAGAGAGGCTATTCCTGATACTTCAGAGTATTTATTGATCAAAAGAGTTCATGAGGGTTCTGGACAGATGCTCCGTAGGCCCACTGGACCACTGCTGAGTATATGTTCTTGGGCAAGCAGAACTTGAGATTGTTGAAGTACAGCCTGTCTTTAAGGGTTGCCCCTTTCTGTTTCCAGCTTGTGGGTTTTTTTTTTGTTTTCTTTCCAGGGTCAGTAGCTGCTTGTTATTCCTTCGGGAGCTTGATGTCTGTGGGTAGGATCTTACATGGTGAATATGGGAGTTTCTTCAGCAGACACTTTTCTGTCCACTTCCCTTAGTGCGCTTACAACTTCTTGAACAACTTGGTCAGCCAGAGAGTTGCCACATGCTTCCTCCGAGTTCAGTCTTCCTTCAGAGATCTTGCATGCTGTGATGGGAGCCTATAGCTCAGCTTCTTGTACAGACATTGTTGAGGTGAGATACTTGGTGTGACGGAACACTGGCACTCCAACTGAGTACCTCCGCCAATCGATGCTCCTAGTGCTCGCTGAGGACTCCAAGCACTCCAACCGACACCATCAGCACTGCAGACCCCACTTCCAGCGATACAACTGCGCCGGGGTCTCTGCTGTCTCCACCCACCCTGGACCCAAGGCCAGGATCCAGCTTCCAGTGGGTGAACCTCTCTTTCCCCAGAGAGCAGGAACAGGAACAAATCAAGCTATTGCAAGAGCTTCCTCTGGGGAGTAAGTGATTATAGCAATCCCCAGAGTGTAGGTATCCCTTCCCCCAAACATGAGCCAAGGCTTAATGCTGGAACAAGACTGATTTACTGGCACACAGAACTCACAATTTATGCAACACAAAACTCCTCCTCTGGGCCAGGCTAAATAATTGAGTTTCTACAATACACAAAGCTCAATTATCTGCTGGACAGAAATAATACAGTTTCATAAAACACACAGGGACCCCAAAACATGCAATAACCCCATAAAAGTATATCCTTGGAACCGGGGGATCTGGGTGAACCACATATCCAAAATTCACCCAGATCCGTTCAGTACTTTGGAAAATACAGTTTAATGCAGATTCTGCAGAACATATACAGGCTAAATGAAAAACAATCACTTTATAATGTGTCCCCTGCTGTATAGTCCAAAACCACTGCACGATGTCTCTGTGCACCAAATACTGGCAAGATGGCACCGTGTTGAAAAGTCCAAACAGTGTCTGTGAGTTAAAATGGCCGCCATCCATTGTTCTCACCATGTGCTTCTGATACAGGAAATGGTGGCCACCCAGTAACTCCACAGTATGTCCCCATTTGGTTCTTAAAGGGCCAGCAGCAGCACAACACAAATCCATTATGCCCAAATCATGTCTTTAAAGGGCAATACAAACCAGGGGCCATAGTCACAGGGCAAGAGGCGGGCAAGCAGTCCTCTCCAGGCACAAGTGGCGAAGGGCACTTCGTCACAGTAAGGATGGACGTGATGTTACTTTAGGAGTAGGCGTGGCTGTGGATAGGGGGAAATCAGCCTTATCCATTCCCATATATTATTCCTTTTGTCTTCAGTATATCCAAACCATGTGTATGTCCAGGCGTTGCAATATACAGTAATCCATTATCAGTCATGATATTAAAATCTCATTCTCATGAATTAAATCAAAGATTTTAAATCAACCTCAGAAGCAACAACATTGTTTTTTCTTCTGTAAAATGATTGGAGTTACTGTATAATCGCATACACCCAATATAACATTGCATGTTCCTCACTGCTACATTAGTGTATTTCATTCTGCCATATTTGCAAACTTGTTGTAAATTTTTATTTTAATTAATTACCTAATACTTTCTTATAACACATAAAACAATGAAAAAACAGTTCAGACTAACAATTCATTAAAACAAACTAACATAGATCTCTATTCTTGGCTGTTTTTAATTCTGGAATCAGCCTGTGTACATCTGTTGGCGCACATATCCATGCTCATTCTGTGATGGGATTCCAGCATGGTTAAAATTTAGTAGGCCAAGATTTCCATGTGGCATATGTGTATGTTGTGTCAGTTGGTTAGCTACATGTAGCTAGGATACTGTCATCAGTGTACTGAGCATGTGCAGGAATGCAGGAACTGAAATTGCACTTATTTCCTTTTGTCTTGGATGGGCCATGTGGTTTGACTAGATGTACAAGTCTATATTCTGCTCATTGATTGGTTAAAGGTATATGTGGGTGTAGCTATTAATGGGAGGAGTTATAGTGCTATATAAGGAATGTACACTATGTGTTGGTCTCTCAGATCATTTGGAACAGGAGTTCATCTGAGACCCGATCGGTAATGTGAATAAAGGCCTGTTACTTCCTGAAGATCTGTGTCCAAATCTCTGTGTTTGGCTTCTGCATGCTTACACTGCAACATCTCTGGTGCATTGTGGCCGGGAACCTCATTGCATGGAAGCTGGCGCAGAGATTTGAGACGGTAAACTTTTACCAAACCTTCTACGCTACAATCCTGGACTTCTACTGCGTGGACCTCCTTTCGTCTCGGCGCCACTGGCCTTTTGTCCAGGAGATCATCGGCTTCTGCGCAGTGAGTCCCAGATTGTTCCGTCTATGAGTGAACCCAGGTCCAGGACTAACAGGTAAGATTGATACCGTTAGAGCGGTAGACCCACAAGGGGTTTTATATTTGGAACCGGTTATTGGTATTGGCCCCTTCAATAGAAGGAAGAAGTGAAAGCGCAACACTTATCTGGAAATTAGACGCTCTGTAGTCAGCCGTCTAATATAGGTGGTTTGGGTCAGACTGAGTTCTGGTGTAAATAGCTCATGTCGGACACCGGTGTCCTGTCTTGACTAGCGTATCTAGGGTGTAAATTTTGTTCGCTACGTCGGGGGGACCGGGAGACTAGCATACTCTGTTGTATATTATAGTTTGCTAGATTTCACCCTATCTTAACTAAGTGTGCTCTGTTGTAAATCCAGCCACTAGCTTATTGATAGTTTAATAGACTAGCTGGGTACTGTGTAAATTCTGCCCTCTAGTTCGCTATACGTGGTGTCTGGGCAGCGAAGAACTTATCGAATCTCTGGTGTATAAATAGATCGAAAGCTCTCGAGGTGCTGGCCAGTTAGAATAGTTGGGATTATTGTAAATGTTGTTAAATATATTGTAGTTGGTGAATTGGTTAACTTGTATGTCCTACTAGAAAGTTAGAGCTCTGCTGTCTAGTGGGAGTGTAAATTGTGTGTATAACTGTAAAATAGCGCACGGTACCATAACTACTGACATGTACCATAACCACTGACATTGTGTAAAAATTACTAATAATTGCTGTTTTATGTTATATGTATAATACCATAACTGTTACTAACTGATCTGTGACTTTAAAACTGTATTATAACCACTTACTAACTGTACCATAACCACTGACTGTAAAGATGAGGTTACTAGAATGTGATATAGTTGGTTAGTCAAAAGTTGATTTATAGTACGGATAATTGTAGAGACGATTTATAGTTATAGAGGTAAGTAGCTAGTGTTTGGTAGATCTTTGTGAGTGGGACGCTGTGATATCATTGTATGAACGAGAACTCTCTGCGTGTTATCGTGTGTGTGTATGTTTGGCTTAGCAACCGTGCCACGTGGTACTGTTGCCGGGAAAACAAGTGTGATTGTTGGAAGTGTTTGAAGTATTGTGGATCTTTGTAATAGACGTTCCATTGCCAGTATGGGTGCATCTGATTCAAAGATTGTTGATCCCTTGTCATGCATGTTGAAAAACTTTACAAAGGGATATAAAGCCTGTGATTATGGGGTAAAATTGTCCCCAAAACGTTTGACTACCTTATGTAGTAGAGAGTGGCCTATCCTGGTGACCGCATGGCCACCATGTGGTAGCCTTGATTTCATTTTGGTACAACGTGTGCATGCGGCTGTATCTAGTAGGCCTGAATTTTATGATCTGTTTCCGTATATTGATTGTTGGAAACAGATTGTAGAAGAATTGCCTAAATGGGTTAAGGTATGCCACGAGGAGCAATGTCGCCTCATGGTGGCCAGGACTCGCCTCTCCATCAGGGCCGCAACTCCGCCCATTTTAGATTCCCCCTCTGAAACTGACCTTCCCTCCCCACCCCCTTACACTTCCTCTAAGGTTAGAGGTGGTGCTACTGGTGTTGCTACTCCCCCTTTTCCATTGTCCCTGCCCACTCATGCATCTAGTTCAGAGCCCAGCCCACTAGCTCTGAAACCCCCCCTTCCAGTACAGGCCTCCACTAGTTCCATATATCCGGAACTGACATCACTTCTGGTTCCTGGTCAGGCTTCTCCTAGCCCTGCCCGTAATATCCTGTTAACCGAACTTCCGCCCAGTAAAATTAATCCGCCTCACTCCCCTTGCCTTACTACCCCTAGACCGGAACTCATTATGAAATCATCATATCGTAGTCCCATATTAACCCGACAGATGACTGGAAGCATCCAACCCCGAAATTACCAAATGCCCCTTAGACTTACACCAGGCCCAACTCACGTGGATGAGAATGGCCAAATACAACGGGCAGTGTTTGTATATGTCCCCTTTACTACGACTGATTTATTCAACTGGAAGACTCATAACTCTTCATATACTGACAAACCTCAAGTCATGACAGATTTGGTTACTTCTATTATCCAAACACATAATCCCAACTGGGCCGATTGCCAGCAATTATTATTAACTTTATTTAATTGTGAGGAAAGGACCCGGATTAATCAAGCGGCTATTAAAGCACTTGAGGAAACGGCCCGTACTCAAAATCAGGCCAATCCAGTTGCGTGGGCTGCAGCCCATTATCCAAATGTCGATCCAAATTGGGACGTGAATGGTGCTGACATGCCCCACCTAAGGGCTTATCGGGAAGCCATAATTGCTGGCATGAAGGCAGGAGGGAAGAAGGCAATTAATATGTCAAAGACGGGTGAGGTGTTGCAAAAGGTTGATGAGTCACCTAGTACCTTTTATGAGAGATTATTGGAGTCATATAGGTTGTATACTCCTTTTAATCCAGAGGCTCCTGAGAATTATAGGATGATTAATTCAGCATTTGTCAGCCAGGCCCAAGGTGATATTAAAAGGAAATTACAAAAATTAGATGGATTTGTAGGGATGTCCATAATACAGCTAATGGAGATTGCAAATAAAGTATATATGAATAGGGAGACGGAGGTAAAGTGCGAGCAAGAACGTAAAATGAGGAAAAAGGCAGATATGCTAGCAGTAGCTATCTCAAGTGTAGAAAGACAGGGAAGGGAAGTAAATAGAGGAGACGAGAATGGGCTGAGCAAGGGACCTCTACGTAGGAATCAATGTGCGTATTGTAGAAAGGAGGGACATTGGAAGAGTGAGTGTCCACAGAGAGAGCAGTATGAAGGTGATAGACAAGGAGAGAGAAGGGTACGAGGAGGTTATAGTGGTAGTTATAGAAGAAGAGGAAGTTTTAGAGGGAATGGTGGGAATAGTAGAGGAAGTGTTCAAGGAGACAGATACTATCCACCCACGCAGAGACCTAGAGAAAGAGAGGATAGAGATTTTGTGGGTCTGGCTGACACTATCATGGAAGACTATTGATACAGACTGGGCTCCATCCCACTTGGTCGAGCGTAGCCTATGGTCGATGTAGCAATAGGGGGAAAGAGAAGTTCTTTCATGATCGACACAGGTGCTGAACATTCTGTGGTGACTAAGATGGTGGCTCCACCTTCGGGGAAGACTATAACTGTGATAGGAGCTACTGGGAGAAGTGCAGCTAGACCGGTTCTTAAGAGTCGCACTTGTATTCTGGGAGGCCATGTGGTGAAGCATCAGTTCCTATATATGCCAGAGTGCCCGATTCAACTCTTAGGACGAGATCTATTATCAAAGCTTCAAGCCCAGATAACCTTTTTACCTAATGGATCAACATCTCTGAAGTTTAAGGGGTTACCAGGCATAATGGCGATATCGGTGCCAAGGGAAGAAGAATGGCGCTTCTATTCCATAGTGACAAGTGTTAACCCTAAGAGTGATGAATCCTTATTTGACATTCCAGGAGTATGGGCAGAGAATAATCCACCAGGACTTGCTCGTGTTATCCCACCCATACATATTGAACTAAAACTTGGGGCCTATCCTGTGAGCCTACGTCAATATCACATACCCCAAAAGGCTAAGGAAAACATACAAACCTACTTGGATAAGTTCGTAAGGTATGGCATCCTAAAATTCTGTACTTCCCCCTGGAACACTCCATTATTACCTGTTCAAAAACCAGGATCGGACGAATATCGTCCTGTACAGGATTTGAGAGCAGTTAATGATGCAGTAGTTAGTATACACCCAGTTGTACCCAATCCCTACAATCTGCTTGCCTTGATACCAGGTGGGGCAACCTACTTCACAGTGTTAGATCTTAAGGATGCTTTTTTTTGCCTTCGAATTGCTGCTGAGAGTCAACATATCTTTGCTTTCCAATGGGAAGATGCTGTTACAGGTTCAAAGCGTCAGATGACCTGGACCAGACTACCTCAAGGGTTCAAGAATTCACCTACCCTATTTGGATCCGCATTAAGCCAGGATTTGCAAGATTTCAAGTCCATTCCAGGAGAATGTGTATTACTTCAATATGTGGATGATC